GCCTGGGCATGGTGCATAATAACAGCAAAGCTGTTACTGCCACAAAGAGAGAATGTCCTACAGAGACACGATCTACAATACCAAGATCTGGAGCTTTGCCCCAAATGCCATAGGCTTTTTAGTAGTTATTCTCATTCTGGTACCTGAAGCAAGTAGTGATCATGATGACTGTGTCTGTGCTTTGCAGGGAAACACTGCCTTACACACAATCTAAACACAATCCTCATCTCAAAGGTAAGATGTATTGGCCATTCTAATTTACCCACGGCAAATTTCTATAGAATTCAGAAATAGCTGGTAAGTGCCCAAATAACCACTCATTTGGCCAGCATTGATAGGAAGCACACTGTCTACGGTCCGATTCTGCAACCTTGATGCTGAAATGGTGTCGGCATGTCTGACTCCCTGTGGCAATTAAGTCATCAACTATTGAGGGAGGTACCTTTAAAGGCTAACTTGAAGACAGGGAAACCGAAGCCCAAGAAGTCAATATATCTTCTTCATTGCCACTGGTGAGCTTCTAAGGGAGTAGGCCTCAAACTGTAGTCTCCTGCTTCCAAATCCTGAACTTTTCATCCACTCAACTGCTTGCCCTTTAGCCCTTACGTGGCACACCAAAGCCAGGCCTTATTCTTTATCTGTAGGCCCTGGAGTCCAAATCTAAGCTTCACAGAGATCTAAATAGTGGCTTCCTTTCTATACATGCTCTGAGACATGACCTATAGGTTTTTCTTTACTCTGTGCAAGAGACAGCTAAGGAACACTAGGTTAGCGATGTCTCCCAGTTTCTGATCCTCAAATCAGGACAATTCCAGCAAGTGAATGGCATGGCAGAGATTCCTATTCTATCAGATCAAAGCAATGACTCAAGAGGTTATTCAGAATCACCCCCATTCCTGGTATTCATAGGACCCTGAGGTCCATTTGCAGAGTCCCAAGCCTGGCTTCAGACTCCTGGTGTAGGATCAGAACTGGACTTTGAACCACAAGGTCAGCAGTTCAAACCCATTAGCTACTCTTCAGAAGCCCTATACAGTATCCCTGTGAGTCAGGGATTTAACAACAGCAACAAGTCTGTAGTTGTATTTATTATAACTTGATGTCTCTGATTCCCTATTTACAGTCTTGTAGGTTTGTTTTACTTTGGATAATTTCCTTGTCTCTGATTTTGGAGAGTTTGATTATGATATGTCTTGATGATTTTCTACTGGGTTCTATCCTATTTGGGGTTTGTTCAGCTTCTGGAATGCTTATCTTTTTACCTTTCATGATGCTAGGGAAGTTTTCTTCCAACAGCTCTTCAGATGTCTTTTTGTATTTTTGTCTCTTCCTGGCTGGAATTCTGACCACCAGTAGGTTATTGCTTCTAGTTTACTAATATATATTATATATTCAAGCTCGCTAATTCAGTCTTCCATTGATTTAAACTTATTTTTTTGCCCTATGTATTGTTCATTTTTAAAATCATAGTATTAATCTTCTGGATTTCTATTTGCAGGTAAAGGGAAACTAAGAGAAAAAAGGAAGAAGCAGCTAGAGTTGATAAAGAAAAGCTGAGGGAAAAGAAAAATGAAAGTAGAGATAGAAAGGGTAATATGCAAGGATAGGTAGAGAGAGGAAAAAGAGGAATAAAGAATAGACAAAAACAATGAAGAAAAAACAAACAACAACAAAAAAAAACAGGGCAGATGCCAGACCCAAAAAGAAGAAAATTCTGGGGTCTTCTTCCAGCCAAGGACCTCACATTATGGGTCAGTATACATCAGGACTCCAAGTCTCTCTTTTCTTTTGCATTTGTTTATCTTTGAAGGAAAATATTAAAAGTACCATGTTGTTGTTGTTGTTGT